CTCCACCCCCCACCCCCAGATAAAAAGTTTACTGTACAAAGACAAAAAAATTTTTGGTATAAGCTGTTTAAAAAATATTAAGTTATTCTCTGAATGTTTTTCTTTATAGAAATACAAGTACAGAATAAAATGAAAAAAGAGAAGTGATTTTATTCCCCCAGAAGAAATCCCCAAAAAATGGAAAGCAATAAACCATAATTTTTGGGTATAGTGAGCTGAAGAAAGCTTTCAGTCACTCTCTGCGTGGTTTTTTTTCTTCATTAAAATACAAGTACAGAAAAACTTGCGCAAAAGAGCAGACTAAAATCTCCCCGCCCTCCCCCCCAAAAATCCGACCCCTTAAAATTCAGGTGTACAAAAATATAACATTATGACTACAGAAGGATGTAAAAAAAATTGTTCAGTCGCTCTCGGCAGTTGCTACAGGGGGCGGCCGTTTGTTCCTGTTCTCCGTGGCCAGTCTCTGCCGCATTTGTCGCACTTCATTGAGAAGGGCAATCTCTTTCTCATCAAAGGCACGCCTGTTCCTCTCAAAAGACACTGATGGAAATACAGAAACATTCAGTTAGGAAAGAAAAATTTCGGCATAAGTATTAAAAAACACAATACGCATCATTCGCTGGTGTGGAAAAAAAAAAGAGGCCTATTTGCACAGGATGGTTCAATCCTCTGTTTGAAATCCTAAAGTCCTTTTAAAAAAAACCAGTGATGACATCTGTATAAGGCTAGGGACACGGTGACACGGACAGGGACAGTCAGTTGCTGTCACAGCAACACATCAAAAAGCGTGCACGCCAAAACCGCTCATGATTTCTTTCAAAACACACCAACCTGGCTATGTTGAACACGGACAGGCACAGACAGCAACAGCCAGCGACAGTCAGGAAAATTCTAAAAGTGCGTGCACTACTTCTCCTGTCTGTCTGTTTCAAGGGAGTCAAATAAAGATACGATCACAGTGATTGTTCTTGTCAAGATGGAAGATTTTGAAGAGAAACTGATTGCGGTGCAAGAAAGGCCAGCAATTTATGACAAGAGCGAAAAACATCACGCTAATCGTCAAATCTTCCTCACACAGGTCTAGAAGATTTCTGAATGTTGAAGGCTGCATTCGAAAATATTCAATGAATTTTTCCTCATCATTCACAAGCTGTGGGAGGAGATGGTGAAATTCACCTAACAAAAAGCATTTTTTGTTAATAGAATGAACCGCATATCTTCGATGAGAAATTCGTGAACTTCTTAATTTCCTTCGTAACCACACTAATAATAAGAGTTTCTTCTTCTTTGTCAGCGCCATGATTGACAATGTTGCTGTCTCTTGCTGCCTGTTTGAATGTGACCACATTTCCCTGTGCCTGTCCGTCCCTGTGCGACAGCAAGTAGCTGTCCCTGTCTGCCCGTGTCACAGTGTTCATACCTTAACCGTGATAACAGTGTTGTGTCAAACAGAACATAATATACTCTTTAACATTTTAACTTCACACATTTTAAGAGCCTGTAGCTCAAAAACTACACATCCAATTACTTTGAAATGTTTACACACGTCATTCAAGCTCATTGTCGTTCATGAACTGTACTCAGTAGGGTGCACTGGTCTATCTTTTTGTCTGACGATGATATTCACAGGGTTCTGATATTTGGTCAAATACTGTGAAAATGTGTGAGTAACTTTGAAAACAAAAACTACACTTGCTAAGATGGACTCCTTCCAAATTTTTCGCCACATAAAAAAGTGGTTATCTTTATCGATTCACCATTTGGAAAATGTACATGTTTTCAGAAGAGTCCCAATTTCGACTGGAACAGCACGATGTATGGGCCAAAATCTACAGAAGACAAAACCAAAGTTTACACCCCAGCTTGCTTCAGACAAGCAAATAATTTCGGTGGAGGTTGTGTCATGGTGTAGGCTGGAATCAGTGATGTTGGAGAGACCCCACTTGAGTCTATTCGTGGAAGCATAACAGCTCAAGGCTAAATCAACCAATGTACTTTTCTTTCAAAATTAAGCCCAAAGACAAGTATTCATGTGTGATAATGCACCTGCTTATAAGGCTACTGTGATAAAATCAATTTCTCAAAACTAAAATATTCGTTCTTCTTCTGCACCCTTGACCAGCGCATTCCCTAAATCTCAATCCAATTGAGCACTTGTGGGGCATTTTAAATCACGCCATTCGTGCCTGACCACGCCTGCCCTGAACCCTTGTTCAGTAATGACAAGCCTTTAGTCAAGAGTGGAATATCATCCCTCAATACACAATACCTCGATTCATTCGGTCCATGATTCGACCATGTGAAGATGTGAACAACGTCAGATGTCATAACACGTTACTGAAAGCTGTCCCTTTTCATTTAGACCCCTAACAACTATAAGTTCAAAAGTGAAGATTAAAAACATTCTTAACTTTGCATTCCACATGTTTCCCTTGCTGTAAAATGAATGCACTGTCTTAGGTGAAACTTTCAGACATATTTGACGTGTATTAATCAAGATAATACCTTTAATATGAGGTGTGAAGTTGAAAATAATTTACTTGGGCACAATTCTGTTTTTAATTTTGTCTCAGGTGTTTCAGATCTCAGAGAAGGTGTGATAGAGTACATGTCTCCTTGGCAGAAGAAGAAGAACAGGTGGAGGAAGATGAGATGACGGTATGATGATGATGATGATGATGATGATGATGATGATGATGATGATGATGATGATGATGATGATGATGATGATGATGATGATGACAATGATGATGACGATGAAGATCATGATCATGATGAAGAAGAAGAATATGATGATGATGACAGAGGAGTAGCAAAAGGAGAATAAAATAAAGAAGAGAAAGAAGAAGTAGAGAAAGAAAAAGGATGAAGAGGAAGAGAAGCATCAAGTTTACCTTTTGACATGTCTTGCGAGGAGTCCGGAGGCAGAAGCTCAGAGCTGTTTTTCTCCATCAATTTGCGGAAGACAGACTGAGGCTCTGTAGACATAAAGTGACAGCAATGAACACGGATCAATAACATAAGCAATGTCTTTCTGAGGTAAAAAACTTACATAAAGGTAATAATCATCGAGAAAGAAACAGAGAGACAAAAAAGAGAGAGGGGGGGGGC